AGTTATTATTGTTTAAAGTTTAAAAAAAATTTATTTAGAAAAAAATTTGCTTGATTTCTATTGACTCAACCCCATATCCTAAATTTACCATAGCAGATAGTATTTAGAAAAACTAAAAAAGGTATCAAGTAACTATATAACATTAAGACCTGGAGTATCTGTGATTAAGCTGCGGTAGCAGAAACTAGCTTGAGATATGGGTTAGTAGTACTTGGACAGATAAGTAATAGGGATTATCTGACAATAAAATACTAATACTGTTATATGGTGAACCTAATTAAGTAGCAGTTTCTGGCTTGAGATATGAGTTCTTGCAGATTTTGGACCAATATCAGAATATCTTAGAGAAAACAATAATATAGTACACCAAACTAGGAGATCATAAAGTTCTATAATCTGAATATTACTAATTTGGAAATTGTGTAGAAGCAGAGAACATAGTTTTAGCTAGATATAGTAGTTTCAGAATGTAGGAGTAGTATTAGTACAGGTATGATCCTTCTTTACTGGCTTAGCAGTTTAATGATAATGCCTCTCCAAAGTTGGAAGGTACTCTGACTACAAGTATTGGTCTCAGTTATAGCATGCTGGTGATACAACTAGGATATGTTTGGGTACCTATAAGGGTAGCTGGATAAATATTAAGTAGCTGATTAGATTAGTATAGTCTGGTATTAGGTTGTAATATGATTTAAAAATTATATATATACTTATGAGTATATCTAATAAAGGCTTTATTGACTTTCCTAGCCAAGTTTAAAAAAATAAAATCTAAAGCTCTAGTTCTATAAATTACTATTATTTTATTACTAATAATATTTTAAACCTAATAGTTAATTAAAATACAAATAAATTATATATCATAACTAATACTAGATTTAGCTAATGCTAAATATCATATAAAAATTTAAACTAGAAATTGCAGATTATATATTAATCATGATAATTCAAATAAATATATCTTTATCAAAAATTGTTAATTTTTCAAAAATCTTCATAAAAAATAATATATTATACATTAATAAAAGCTTTTTTTAAATAATTTTACTATATAATCTTTTAAACTTTAATATTAATATAGACAATAATTCTAATACAAATGAACTTGAAGAACTTTATTATTGGTTAGAGTGAAATTTTTGATAATAATACAGATGTTCTATAGAATAGGTAGGCAAACTCTGCAAACTCCACAATTAAAAAATTAATGATTACTAATCAATAACAAAGCTTATTTTTTATAATGCCCGCCTATTCTATAGAATATCTAATAATACTTAGGGTAATCATTGAACTTATCTTTATTTCATTTAGAGTTAGTAGTTATGATATAATTAGATATTAGTAGATATAATAACAAAATTGTCTAAGAAAACTTTTTGCTAATATACAAATTTTTGAATTATAAACAAACCAAATATTTGTTTTAATTTTTCTTTAATTAATATACAATCTGTAATTTTCAGTCTGAATTATCATGTAATATTTAATGTTAGCCAAATTCAGCATTAACCATAATATTATATACTTTCAACTATAATATATTTAAATTTTAACTAATTTGAATTAAAATGTCTTGAGATATCATTTGTTGATGATAATTAACTTTTTTAAAAAGATTACCTATCATTAACAAATGATTTCTCAAGAACTATTGATTAAAATTAGCTAAAAAATTAAATATGAATATATACTATATATGATAAAAATTTGAGCTGATTTGGATCAGTAGTTATCGAGAAAATTAATTACGAATTTATAAATTCGTTAATAATCAATAGTGATTATAATCATTATATATCAATAATCATTATTTATCGTTAATGATATATATCGAATATAGCAGCTAATCGATATATATCGATAATTTTTAATCGATTAACTGCTATATATCGATATATATCTGCTTAAAATTTTGCTGACGTTAATCATTATCTGAGTTAAATTTGTGTAAAAAAATTTTTTTTTTTCTATTCCTAATATAACACTTCGCTGTGCACGCAAATTACCGTAATTTACGTAATTTTACGTAAATTTGTGAAAGTTTCATTACATATAATTTTGATCATGTGAATAATTTTTACCAAAGCTTTTTATAAATCTTGCATAAATAAAATTACAATTCCGAACATAATGATGGATAATTATTAATGCTGGTGCAATTATCATAATACACTAATTAATTCATGCAACGTAAAAATGTAATTCATGTAATGTAATGCAAACCTACACCTTTCTGGTATACGTAATCATAAGTTTTACAATGAATTTCTACGTAGTACAAATCAATTCTTTAATCAGAAAGCAAATTACTTTTTTTTGAATATAAGACATTCCTAAAAACTATCTGGCCATCATCAGATTTGATAATTTTAATTAATAATTAAATTTTTTTTCCTACTAAAGTTTATTTATATTCCTGAAGTTATTTCTTCGATGCTTTTTCCCTTAGTCTAAAAAAAAAAAATTTAATTACTATATACAAGTTTGCAATACTTCCATAAAAAAATAAAAGACAAACCTCCGGAACAAAAAACCAAGTAAGGATCACAAAGCAAAAGGTAATTGCACCAAACATGAGGAAGGTATATTCTTTTAAAGCATCTTCCATAACAGGAAATATGAAGGACACAATAAAATTTGCGGACCAATTTGTACCTAAACATATTGGACCGACCAAGCTTACGAAACGTGTTGGTATAACCTCTGATAATCATGTGTATATAAATGTGATTAATCATAGCGTAATAATACGTAGTGATAGGGCAAAGATTGTTAAATGTCATACCTGAGATAATAAAGTATGGTAAACTTCCAAGAGCGATACCAAAAGAAGTAACGTGGAGTAAAACTTTTAAAACAGATAAAGTATTATTAGAAAGGTCTTATAATCCCAGTTACTTATCTCAAACCACAACTCCATATTGAATTTTTGGATTTCTTACATGCGATTATAAGAATCTTATATTGATAAATAGAGCCAATAACGATCAGAAGACAAGAAATAGTAACACAAATCTCAGATGTTAATAATAATGGTCTTCTTCCCACTCGATCCATCAGAAACGTTGATATTAATGTAACTATGAAGGTTGTACCGCCGATGATTATCGTTATGTATTTGGCTGAATCACCCATAACATTTAAGAAAATTGCAGTACTATTAAATTATTTAATGATTTTAGAAATATGTACGTATGATAAGAACATATTACTGTATTATGATCAAGTTACCTATAAAAGACTACTCCTTGGATACCAGAAAGTTGTTGTATAAGATTTGCTCCAATACAAACGAACGTCATCCTGCGACAATATGAGTCTTGGAAAAGTTCTTTAAATGAAGCCGATTTCTTGATTCTAAATTGATCATTAGTGTCAACAAGAGAATTTTGTATGTATTTATCACCTGTCTCGATATTAACATCATTAATTTGTTTTACGGATTGTCCCTGAAGAATTTCTTCAAATTCTAAATCAATGTTATATCCTTTTCTTAATTTTTGTAATGTCTCTTTTGCCTCTTCAATTTTATTTTGTGAAATCAAATATCTTGGGGATTCCACCATTATAATAGGCATTAATACCAATTGGAAAATTGCAATTGCTGACGTCAGAGTTAAAAGAATTCGCCAGCCAGGAATAAATGATAATGGTAAACCAACAAGTTGAGAAGCAACTATTCCAGTCACGACTGAATCTTGATAAGCGGAACCAATTAGTCCACGTGACTTTATGGTTGAGATTTCACCCAAATATGTCTTGGTTTAAAAAAAAAGGGTTATTATCGTTATATCGTTAAAATATTATCAAAAAAAAAAATATATCAAAAAATATTCAGGTAGTACCGGAATAACGACAGAACCAACACCGGATCCAATTCCAGTAATAATACGTCCGCATGTAAACATCACAGGATTTACGGACGCACCGAGAAGTACACCACCGATTATCCAAGTAAAGGAATTATATATTAATGTGTTCTTTCTACCAAACATTGTTTGTAAACTACCCGCACTGAGACCTCCAAAAATAGCACCCATCGAATGGCTTCCTACTGCAAGACCCCTATTGTACATTAAGATTATTGTTTGTTAATTTTAGGGGACTGGTATTTCTACACCTTCATATATGGGATCCGTCCGATATTCAGGTCATAATACTGACAACTTATTTTGATAAATTTTGATAGTTTATTATGCCCTATACATGCACAGTCTAGCTTCAACGATAGGTCATTTATTCCTAACGTTAGGCAAGGATAATAGTTTTATTAGTACATTTATAGCTCGGTTCAATTATTTTTATCCTAAAATATTGCTGGTGTTGGCCGATGACCTAAGTCATTTTTTTTGATATGGCCTTAGTCATATGACTTTTGGTCATAGGTTATGTTGGTCATATGAAATACTAATAAAAAAAATTCTTTTATCGTTATATTAAAGGTTATAAGGATCATATGAGTGCATGAGAATGAAAACCTAGATTTAATGATTTACTATGATTGGTTACAGGTTTCGCTCTCATTGCACTCATATAGGTCATCTAAAGTTATCAAGTTTCCCATTCGTGAGAGTGTAGAAATCCAAATGTCAGACCAATTTTTATCAGGTTTACCAGAGTAAATTTCCCATTGGAAGACAGTCTGGCACTCCTGCTCCTTGTACGTGGTTATATCCATTTGAACAATTTCTAATGACTTGTTCTTTCGTTTGCAAAAAAAAATAAAATAAAAATAAAATTTGACAAATATATATATATGCATTTACAGGTATATCAAGATTTACTATTTATTACAATAAATACAGTACCTGGTATATTAGTAATGCCCGTATTAAATCCATTCTCAAAGCCACCGATTACAGCTAAAAGAGTAAGCATAATACAATAAAATGGTAGTTTTGCATTTCTCGAGTCTTGAATTGAGGCGTTTTGTTCAATGTTTGAGGAGATCATCCTTTATGCAAAATTATTATTATTATTTTTGTTTTTTTGAAAACGAAAGAACAAGTCA